ATTTTAAAACTCCCAAAAAAATTTATTAAATCGATTATCCGGTTTACACCATTTGTTACAGCAATAAAATGAACTTACGCGATGGCTGCCCTTGCGCACTTCTAAGAATGGTGAGACAAATTTGTATTCTAGGTAGGCTGACCTTGAAGAACTCAACACAATTCTTCTCCGATCCCAACCAGCACAGCGCATGCGTCAGCTGTTTTCCTGCGCGATTAATCGCAGCGCGTGCGTCAGCTGTCTTCCCGCGCGATTAATCGCAGTGCGTGCGTTGAACATCCTTTCAAAACCCTCCCCGTACCCTAAATTACAGGATTTTCACAAAGAGTGGCGTTGAAAAATTTTCCGCTCCTTAGGGGGGCGGCAGCCTCAAAAAGGTTGAGAATCACTGCTCTAAACAGCTTAGGGCCTGGATATCTGCAGGATAGTCTCTCCTGCTCCTTAAAGTCTATTGAGATCAGCAGGACATCAGCCCATCCAATACATTTTGCCTAGAAGAAACTTTTGGTCATACTGTACTTCACTGTCATGAAGTAAGGGGAATGGAAGCCAGGGGACAAAGTTTCTCATTTGCTGCTCCAGCCTTGGAATTAAAACTTTCTAACATTCTGGAAGATGGAACTTTTACAAACAACATTTAACTGTGAAGTTTGTTCTAACAATCTTTAATTTATCTTTCTTTGAACTGCTTACATTCATTTATTTGCTGATATTGTAACGGGTTTTTAATGGTTTATTTTTCATTATCATTATTATAATGTATTCATGTATTTTGCATCTTTGATTACTTATTGGTTATTTTAATTTATTTACTGTGGGCATTTTAAATTGTTATGGATGTTTTTTATTGTTTTCTAAACCACTGTGAGTTTGTATTTCTTCATGGTGTACAAAGGCTTGGGGGACAAGTCAGTTGGTAAATTCCTATTGCAACCAATGGATCAACATTCAGTTGATCTGAAAAAAGCAGACCCTGCACCTGCGGGAAAACACTTGGAAGGAAAAAAAAAAAAACATTACATAATGTAGGAAAGGGCTTTTCCTATGTAGCTCCTAGAAAAATGCATATGGACCTTACTCAGTAAAAACTGCTATCTTCTATCAAGCTTTTAATTGTTAATTATTTTTTAATGCTTGGTTTTTACTCGGATTTTAAGAGTTATATTCTATATCTCCTTTTGTGGTGTGTCTTCTAGAGTATGAAGTAGAGAGAGAAGCAAGGTATAAATCTATTAATTAATTAATTAATTAAAATGTGTCTCTTCCAGTATAAAAAAAAATTGAAATGCATCAAAAGTATTCCAAACTAAACTATGTAAGAATAAAGGAGATAAATGACAGCTGTTTCCACAGATAACCTCTATTGTTATGTTTCTTATACTTAAAATTTAGTTAGACATGAAATTCACTAGAATTATACATAATGAAAGCATTTGAAAACCAAAATTACACTTTTCAACTTTGCAGCATAGAATGGTGAATGGTCATACCTCACCTTGTTGGCCCAGTCCAACACTGGGTTCATTTTAACCTGGTATGATGAGCCAATCGCTCACACAGAGTCGAGAAAAATGGAATCTAAACACTTATTGTATATCTGCACAGAAGCAAAGTGATACACTCAGGACCCAAGTCCAAATCGAGCACGTTGAGATGCAGCTCATGGCATATTTTCAAACACTTTACCACAAGGAAGTCTTATTTCATTAGTTACAAAAAGCTATGTTATTCTAACATCAAGTTGCTAGGTAGTTTTAACTACTTCCACATGGGGAGTGCACTTCATTAGCTAAGCTCTCCACCTCTGAGTGTGTTTTTTACTGTGCTAATCATGCTGAAGCTCTTAGGTCAACCTGTGGTTTCTTTTCCCCTTTAGTCATCATGTGACTCTAACTTTTTCATAGAAAAACCTCTTTACCTTTTTCTTAGGAAGTCCCTACTTGCATTAGCTTTTAGTGGAAAATTCCATTCACAGCCTCCAGGACCTCAACCTTGCAACCAGGAAATACATTTCTAAAAAAAAGTCCACTTTTCTCTAGTTTGAGAGAATATATGAGATAGGAGAAACCCTACATATATTATAAGAGAAGTAAAGATCCCTGATTAATATATCTGGACCCTAAAATGTGCCAGTATTTCAGAGGCATTGCACACTTATTCTCCAATTCAGCCTAAAGAGGGAATATTAATTAAACGTTGTCTTCCACATTCCAGAAAATCAGTTTATTTCACCTTCTGTGTCTCTGTAATGGTATGTGAGAAAAATCTGGAGAGACGGGGTGAAGAGATGCCCCCTTAGGGAACAGTCAGATAAGAGAGATGGCATAGCCCACAGCTGCATAATGGGCTCAGAAGGGACCCTGCCCACCCAGCTTCTCAGGCTGTGAAAAAGAGGTGGGGGGGGGATTTGTACCTTCAAACTTGCAAGATTTTGTTAATGTAGCCTTACAATAAGGTAGAATTAGCTCATCTGGTTGTGTTTCCTGTCTGGTCTACCTGGGAAGGCTGACATTCTCTGGGAATGAGAAGAACACAGCAAATGAATTAAACTGATTTTCTAGAAAGTGGAACAAGAAATTTCCTGTATAAAGAAAAATCGTTGAAAAGTCAGATTTCAATTTATAACCGTACTACCAGTTAAAATATTTTAAATAACAAAATCTAAATTCTGTGGAAATGTAGCCTGCTAAGGCTAAAATTGACCTATTTAATTTTACAATGTGTATTTAATTCCTACTCCTGAAAATATGAGCATGTGACATAATATGTAATTTGTCCAAAAGTTAAGGATTTGTTATTTCAACTGAATTAAAAAAATATTAATAGAAATGTAAAAATAAATATTCTTTTTTTAAAGGAGATAAGTTCCTTTGAATTAATCTGCCAAAATCCGGAAACAAGGAAACTAAAGAAGTAGCATTATAATAAAAAGAGACAAGAATTCTGACTTCTT